CATCCTGGGAGCCCCCCTTTTTTTTAACTATTACCATCTGGCAGACGGTACAGAATAATAAAAACAAGGACAAATAGGCTGAAAATCAGCTTCTATCCCAGGGCAGTAGCTCTTTTGAATTCTACTATATAGTGCAGTGTTGATGCGGTGTTGGGGGTTTTCGGTTTAATGTGTGGAGTATGAAGGATGTATGTTTGTGTTTATTTTTATGGTCATGATACGCACTGAAGATGGTGTTTGATTTCGTGCAATGACAATAAAGTAAAGTAAACTAAACTAAACTTCCATTCATGTCTGAGCAGTTTTTGTTTGGGGTGATGGGGCTCATTCATCATTAGATAGATCTTTTTTTAAAAAAATATATATACATTTTTCTGTAACATACATCAGTTTTGGTAAACAGTGCATTGTCTGTGTCAATTTATGTTATACTTATTAATGATGATGGTGATGTTAATATTATTGGTTTGTACGTATTAATCATTTAGATATATCCTTTATTGTATCGTCTATTCTGGACCGTGTTTTCCTTCCTTGTCTTTCCTCCAGTCAGGGGCTCTTCTGGCTTGTGGCATCGTGAACTCTGGCGTGAGGAACGAATGCGACCCAGCCCTTGCGCTGCTCTCAGACTACATCCTTCACAACAGCAACACCATGCGCATTGGTGCCATCTTTGGGTGAGGATAGCACTAGCAACAACGCTTAGACATATATACCTCTTCACGGCCCCCTCTAAGCGGTTTATAGAGTCGGCCTATAACCCTCCAATAGTCTGGGTCCTCAATCTGCATAGTCTTCCTGATGCAGCACAGGCTATTGTCAGGGTTCCGGCGATTGCCCTAATTAAATCATGAGCCTCGAGCCAAGTTTCAAAAGAATTCCAATTTATTAGGAGCAATGTGTGGGCATTATCCTAGTTGAAGCCAACTCTGCCACATGTAATTTACGGTCATCTGTGACCTGGCTGTCATTAATCACATTCTCCAGTGAAGGGTTTTTGTGGGCAGATGATCCGGTAGCTTAGCTACAATCTTTGTAAGATAAGTATGGAATGTGCTTCTGATGTGTCGTTCTTCCCCCCCCCCCGTCCCTTCCCCCCCCACCCCCGCTTATGGCAACTCGGAAACAGGTATAGGGATGCTTTACGAGTTGACAGCTATATCCTTCAAACCGTGTTGCGCTCTCTTGGCAGGCTGGGACTGGCCTACGCAGGATCCAACCGAGAAGATGTCCTGACCTTGCTGCTTCCTGTTATGGGGGATTCCAAATCCAGCATGGAGGTGAGACAGAAGAAACCCTAAAGATTGGCTGAGAGTTCTGTGGTGGGAATGGAGCGAGGATATGGAACGGGAGATCTTTGACCTCCACCTAGGAGGGGCTTTTTCACAAAACTTTCTGAGGGCAATGGATTGCAAAACGTGTGGACTTTTCAACTCCTAGGATTCCCAAGCCAGCGTTTCCCTGAGCAATTCTGGGAGCTGAAAGTCCACAAGTCTTCAAGTTTGGAGACCCTTGCTCTAGCTTGCAAGAAATAGCTGTCAGGGTTCCAAGTAATACACCCATAGCGAACAGAACTCTGAGGCAGGTAGATTCCTCAGAGAACAGTTTTATTGGATAGATCATATTGGTAAAGACTGGGGAAAACCTATTCCAGACGTTCCCACAGTTTTCACCTAATTAAAAGTAAAAGTTTTCTCCTTTTCCCAAACAGTCACATGGTCCAGTCAGGGTGCTGTGCAACTGCCTGATAACGTCACTCTGCCTCTGTTCAGCCACCTGTTGGAATGTCCTTGGTTCCCAGGGGAAAGTACGCTGTTTTGGCTACAACCCCACCCCAGCTATTTCTATTCCCCACTCCCTAGCCCGCATCTCAATTGTGGCAATGCTGAAGCCTCCAATATGGCCTCAGTCAGGCCAACTTCAGACTTGACAATAGCTTCTTCTTGAAAGACTGCCCGATAACACCCCCCCACCCATCTCTGCAGTTTCTTCTAAAAGCTTATGAAGGTGATAGTGAGAACTGGACACACACTCTCTTTGCAAAAACTTCCCGCTGGAAATTTTTAAGAAGAGATTGGACCCCCATTTGTTTGAAATGGTACAAGGTTTCCTGCCTAAGCAGGGGGTTGGACTAGAAGACCTCCAAGGTCCCTACCAACTCTGCTATTCTATTCTTTCCCCCAGGTGGCTGGTGTGACAGCCCTGGCTTGCGGAATCATCGCAGTGGGTTCCTGCAACGGAGATGTGACCTCCACCATCCTCCAAACTATAATGGAGAAGTCCGAGACAGAGCTGAAGGACACCTACGCCAGATGGCTGCCTCTTGGCCTGGGCCTGAACCATTTGGGTAAGAGAATTCTCTAGGAGGGTCGGTCCCTGGATGTCAGAAAAGGCCCGTAGAAGAGAGAAGCGGTAGAATGGCCCTTGGATGCTAATTATAGGTACAGGTAGTCCTTGAGTTACGACCACAGTTGAGCCCAAAATGTATGCTGAGCTGAATGAAAACATTTGTTGAGTGAATTTTGCTCCATTTTATGACTTTCCTTGCCGCCGTTCTTAAGTGAATCATTGCACTGGTTAAGTTTGTAACCCGGTTGTGAAGTGAATTTGGATTCCCCGCTGACTTTGCTTGTCAGGAGGTTGCAAAAGCTGATCACGTGACCTCAGGGCACTGTGACCGTCATACATATGAACCAGTTGCCAAGCATCTGCATTTTGGTCACGTGACCATGGGGGTGCTGCAATGGTCGCAAGTGTGAAAAACGGTCCTAAGTTACTCTTTTTCAGTGCCGTTGTAACTTTTTGAACGGTCACTAAATGAACTATTGTAAGTCGAGGACTACCTGTGCATCACAATTGCCCCTGAACGGGCTGCTACTTCTCCCCATTCCCACTTCGAAACAAGAGCATCGTTTCTGAATTTTATGTTGGAAAGAAATTGAAAAGAAAACTGTTCAGGTAGTCATCATCTTACGACCGCATTAGAACCCAAAATTTCCATTGCTTAGCCAGGCAGTCGTTGTGTGAGTTTTACTCCATGTTTGCATTGTCAGGATTCTGGCCGTTACTCCAATTAAATCATGAGCCTCGAGCCACACACCCCAAAACTTCTTCGGATTTATTAGAAGTTAACATGCCGTAATTTGCCTGGGCGTAGCCGACTCTGAGATACATAATTCACTGTCACCCTTGATTCTGCTTCCCCCACCCCACCCCTCTGGGTGTATCATCCCAACGAAACACGTCCACAGCCAAGAGTCATCAATCATGCTCTCCAATTAGATCCATTCTCGGCAGAAGCTTCAGTCATCTAATCCGTCTTTGAAGAAAATATGAATGGAATGTACTTTCGATTCCACACTGCTGCCTGCTCTTTGAAACACCCCCACTTCTTTCTGTTGACAACTATAAAACCTGTGTACAATGTGTTTTATGAGTTGACATGCGTCCTTTTCCCATAGTCGTTAAGCGAATCACCGCAGTTGAATTATGTGGGCGTTAAGCGAATCTCACTTCTGCCAACTGACTTTGCTTAACACAAGCCAGCTGAGAAGGGTACAGATAGCAATAGGACTTACATACCGCTTCACAGGACTTTCCAGCCCCCTCTAAGCGGTTGACAGAGTCAGCCTATTTGCCCCCAACAATCTGGGTTATCCTCATTTTACCCACCTCGGAAGGACGGAAGGCTGAGTCAACCTTGAGCCTGGTGAGATTTGAAGTGCCAAATTGCAGGCAGTCAGCAGAAGCAGCCTGCAGTACTGCACTCTAATCACTGCATCAACCACCATGGCACATGACTCCAGGACACTGCAACTGTCTTAAATACATGCCAGTTGCAAAAGTGCCCAAATTTTGATCACGTGACTGTTGGGATGCTGCAAAGGTCATAATTGTGAAAACTGGGTATAAGTCATTTTCCCCCCCACCCCCAGTACCAATGTAACTTCAAACGGTCACTAAACGAATTGTTGTAAGTCAAGGACTACCTGTATTGTCCGACATAGAGCTTCTTTGTCAATGAATTTATATTTACATTATTTGGGAAATTTATATTGCTGCCTACTTGCACACGGTGACTCAAGGCGGCTTGCAGGACATAAAAACACCCTATGAAAGAAATAATAATTTTTTAAAAAATAAAATAAAATAATAACCCCACCGCACCTCACTACCCCAGCGACCACATCCCTTCATTCCACAGCCATTTAATGCTCCATCTTGCTCTGGGTTCACCAACCCTGCTGGCAGAACCACGTTTTCAGGGCCTTCCGAAAGAGTGTTTGTGATTAATTTTGTTTTAGGGTTATTTATGAGCTCCTGCCCAGTAATTTTAAATACTCTGCTGCCCAGTGTAGTTTCTTTTTTAAAAAACTTTTCTGAAATACTTTCAGACATTCTCCTCCTCTTCTTTCTTGGAGCTGTTTTTTGGGGGTGGGGGCAGAGGAGCAAAATACCCAGGACCAATCTTGTCCCAGTGTAAGGGGGCTTTTAGCTGCCTTGTTCCAGCAGCTTTGCATCATTTTCATCACACGCACCCGCATTAAGACACAGCACTTGGCCTGGGAACAGAAGTATCAGTGAGCTATTTCAGAGGGACGCCCTTGTTTTCCGTTTGCAAGAACGCCCCGTGCTCTTTAGTTCCTATCCTCAGTTCCTTGATTGACTTATAAAACAAAGAGTTTTTGTATACGGGCTCGATCCACAGGTAGCAAAAAAAATAAAAGAAAGCAGAGACATTGTGACCTGCTTCCCACAGTTCTTCGAAGCACAAACAGGTGTGCTTAGAACCGGATCTTTGAAAATGGTGACTTTAGAGCTTGTTAGATGAAGAATCTGTTCTTTTTCCAAGCATAGGGAACAGGAGATCAGGATCAGAGTGGGAGGGAGAGAATTAGACAGACAGAGACACAGAGAGAGACAGGGACAGAGAGAGAGAGAGAGAAAGACAGGTAGATAGATAGATAGATAGATAGATAGATAGATAGATAGATAGATAG